CAATAATCACAACAATATTAAAAAATTACTACCCAAATTACTAATTACAAAAATTTTAAATCGTACAATTTACTTATTCTAATAATTTATATAATAAAAAATAATTAAATTTTTATCCTGTAATTTTTATTAACAAATGCTACTAATTAAAAAAATATTAAATTTAAATGCCAAATCTAATTACTAATTACGATAATTAACAATCCCTAAATAATATTCAACTAAATATTATAATTAACATTAACAATGTCTTTCATCCTATAATTTCTTTATTAATAAATCCTAATAATCACAACAATATAAAAAAAATTACTATCATAATTACTAATTACAAAAATTAACTCCCCTAAAATTTACTTATTCCACTAATTTATATAATAAAAAATAATTAAATTTTTATCCTCTAATTTTTTATTAACAAATGGCACTATTAAAAAAATTAAATTTAAATACAAAATCTAATTACTAATTACGATAATTAACAATCCCTAAATAATATTCAACTAAATATTATAATTAACATTAACAATGTCTTTGATCCTATAATTGTTTTATTAATAAATCCTAATAATCACAACAATATAAAAAATTACTATCGTAATTACTAATTACGAAAATTAACTAACCTAAAATTTACTTATTCTACTAATTTATATAATAAAAAAATAATTATATGTTTATCCTATACTTTTTTATTAACAAATGCTAATACTAAATACAATATCAAAATTAAATACTAAACTAATTACTAATTCTAATAATTAACTACAATACAAAATTAACTTATACTACTACTTAATCAAATCAAATTATTAATGTCATCTATCCTATGATTTTTAAACATTTAACACATATAATTAAAAGCAAAAAAAATTATTAAATATAAACTAACCTTGCAATGCAGCTGTGGTCCACAGAGAGAGAGAGAGAGTTTTGAGAGAAAAAAATATTGGAAAGATAAAAAAGATGAAAGTGATGGGTCGGTGGTGGGGATGAGGAGTGAGATTATATAGACCCACAGTTGCACATATCCCGCTTTGCTGACAAGCGCGAATAGGGAAAAGCAGCCACGCGTACGACATGCATGAGGAAATCAGGAAGTTGTACGATGTGTACCAATCTAGCTGGTCTGACCAACGCGAATGGTGGGAACATGTCACGTGGAGGATTTTTAAGAGCTTTACAGTGTCTCTGATTGACAAGTCATTCTCGCTTGTCAGATCAGCGAGAATGGGGCTCCATGGTTGACAGCCACGTGTCATCTTACAATCTCCCTTGGTGATGTAGCGGGATTACGACGTGGCATTTTGGAAAATTCGAAATGGAGCGTGGCATACCGGTAAAATATTATTCAAAGCGTGTTATTTTGGTAAAAGTCCCCAATTACCAAGATACGAGTATGATATTTAAATAAAATATATAAATTTATAGATATAAGTATATTATTAATATGAAAAAATTATTAATTTAAGTTAACATAATATTTTAACTAATTGTTTGTGTAATATAAATTGAGTTGAGACAGCCCAAAATATAACTTCAAATCAATAAGAAAAAAATACGTAGGAACTAAGGGGTATTTAGTAAGGGGAATTTTTTGAGATTTCTGGGAAAGTGATAGTGATAATTCTATTTATCTACATTTGATACAAGATTTATAAAAAAAAAATTTGGGAATCTAATTTTTTTTCAGAATTTTATTTTGTGTACAATTTTCTTCTAAAATGTCATCAAAAAATACCATCAAAAGGTTTATTTTCTTGAAATTTCACGTGTTAAGAAAATTTTTCACTTTTTTAGAAATAAAATCTCAGTAATATTTTGGCCTTCTAAATATCTTTTTGGTATTATTCCCAAAAAAGTGACTTTCTTACCATATTTTTGAGAATCATGATTTCCGAGCATAAAAAAATGGAAAAACTATTCTCATGCTACATGAGATACTCTTCCCTACAGACCCTTCGATAACTGTGCCACCTTTTTCTTTTCTTTTTATTTTTTAAGGTGGTAGAGCTCATAAACTTGTCTCTATAACATGAGATAATTTATCTCTTTTAACATGAGATTAATAAAACTCTAAAAATATTTAGGCTTTAATGGTTCTAAAGTGAATGTAAATAAGCTATCTACATACTAAAACGACGTCGTTTAGATTGAAAAATTAAAAAATTATAATGAAAAAACTATTATAATCCTAAAATAAATTTTAATTATAAAAATACATTGATTTCCTCATTAAAACGATATCATTTTGGACACAATGTAGATAGAAAAAACAAATCCAAAAATTTATCGTTTAATAAAGACCCCGCTTTTACAAATTATGTGTCTATCCTTTTAAATATCCTTCGCTTAGGGTTGGCAAAACGGGCCAACCCGGCTTGACTCGACCCAACCTGTATTCAACCCGAAAAAAATGGGTCGGGTTAGGGTTGACCCGAAAAGAGAAACGAACCAGAAAATCGAACCTAGCCCGACCCGAGCCGGGTTAGGGTTGGCTTGTGGGTTGGCTCGATAATCAGCTCGCGGGTTGACTCTGGAAAAAGCTCGCGGGTTGGCTCATAAAAAGCTCGCGGGTTAGCTCGAAATAATGCCAACGGGTTGACTCGCGGGTTGGTTAGCTCGAAATATTGTCAATGGGTTGGCTCGCGGGTTGACTCAAAAAAATTGAAGTTTCCTCCTGAACATGTGATTTTCCCATTGATGAATCCTAGGCATTCCTCATTAGCAGACAATAAAATGTAAGCATGCTGTCTATAAATGTTATAATCTTACCTATTATTCTAGTTTAGTTACACATAGCAGAGATTGAGGGTATTAAAGAAGAAACGCAAACTAAGAAAAAAGTAGTATATTAACTTACAGAACTGTAGTCAGAGTGCTTAATTCTACGAACAAAATCATCAGGGAGGACATTGTTGGGCACTAATTCCTGGTTCATATTAGCATATATTATAAATTAGCACCAAATATATGTGTCAAAGAAGTTAGTATTTGCAGTTAGTTTGAAAATTTACCATGAAAGTTTTATACAGAGTTGCATTAGACACAACAATCGAAGAACGCACTTCATCAGCGACTGAGATGAAATGATAAAGGGGCAGAATCTTAGGGTTGGACAAAAGAACGAAGAAAATTGACGACGATGCGTAGCGTATGGTAGTTTTGTAGTTTTGATATTATTATTTTTAATTAAAAAAGAATACCCAACTCGCGAGCTGACCCGTTTGACCCGCTGGCTGGCTCGTTTTAGTCCGGATTGGATCGGGTTTGGTTGAATCGGGTTGACAGCTCATTTAGGCCAACTCAACCCAACTCATTTATGACAAGTTGCGAGCCAACTCTACCTTCGCTGACGGGGTTTTCTCCCAAACGGTGCCACCACATGACTTCTAATTTCCAATTTCAGCATTTTTCGCCCAAACCTGATGATTTGTAACATCACAGCCTAGTCAACTTGACTTGGGAAAGCACTCTGCAGTCTTCAATTAGCTTCAAGCTTACACAATCACAATCCTCTCTGGATGACATGGATATGATATAAGAAGCGTGTCTTAAACGTTATTTGCTATGCTACATTGCTACTCCTTTTTCACCCAAATTGAAAGTTTATAAACTGTTTTCAAAAATAAAAATTATAAAGCATGCGTTGTTTAGGGATTAAAATAAAGAGAATATGTTTTTTTTAGTAAAAGAATATGTTTTTTTACGTTACAACTTACAAGAAACAATTTATCTTATATAACATATAAAAAAATAAATGACACTCACTAAATAAAAAAAGAAGAAGAAAAACAATAGATTTCATTCATTTTTTAATGTGTTGCATGAGATAAATTATTTCTGATTTCCTTTAAAATAATCATGGCATATAAAACAAGCCTCTGCCCCCTAAGTTACATTCCTAGAAAGCAAACTTATATATTTCATTAATGTGAAGTTAGCATATGGGTTTGGAGTACAAGTGCCGTAAATTGAGTTGTATTTCAAAGCTCATGAAGACTTTCTCCGTGGTCTTTAAGATTCCCTTACCAACCGCCACCCACCCCCAATAGCAAGAAGCCTTTATTTATAGAATTTGCATTCTATCCCTTGGCACCCCACCAATTGAATCAAATAAGGCTGCATTGTTTGGGTCTTAAAAAGTCATTTGGGTTTAACTGAAGTCATTGTCCACCTTGGCTAAAACAATTAAAGAAAATAAAGTAATTAAGAAGATAAACCGCTATTCCCTAATTCCTATTTGGGATACACAAACACTCTTTCGTATTACCATGACGATAGTTGAAAATAATTCGAACCTTTCTCATCTAATGTTTCAGTCATATTAGCATGATAAGATTTGACTCAGGGCATGTCTATTTGGAACATTAGTCGGTGTTAAGAACAATCTTGACGATAAAAAGCGAGGCACCAATAAAAACCGCGTTCTCGCACATCATTTTGCAAATCATAGAACAAGTGCTAGATTTTCTTAAAAACTTGTTATTGTAGAAAATGACAGTACGAATTAGAGAAGGAAAAATAATAAGAAGCAGCCAAGTCAGTGGTGGCCAATTTATCTTCTCTTTTTCGGATATTTGCCAATTCTCTTCACTTTTAAGTTTTATATTTTTGTTTACAAATTACATTATATTTTACCAATCATATTTTAATTAAAAATATATTACCGATTGCACAAACTACATTAGTATAATTCGTGAAAAAAAAAAATTAAACGAATCCCCTTTTTAAATTATACTAGATCCGCAAGATAGAGAAATAAAAGATTGCAAACCATCGAAATTGCACACGTCAAAGCCATTTCCTTTTCAGTTTAGAAGGGTAAGAGAGAGACAGATAAGCTTCATATGCATTTTTTTGGACCTTTATTGGAATGGTAAGACTTTTTAAAGCTGCAAAACACAAACCCCTAAAGCTTTCACTTTCACTCTGTCATCTATAACTGCAAGCCCATGTGAACAATTAATTGGTGTCCTTGTTTATTCCTCCTTGTTCCTTACTCACAAACCATCACCTTCTTCAAGATCCACTTCACCAACTTTCTTTAACTCAACTGAACATGACCTATTCTACTTGTTCACACCTCATATTACAATCTACTTTCATTTCATCAACCTTATCAAATTCTTAAGCCCTGGTCATTCAAATAACCTTGATTGATTCCTATCTCTTTTTCTTTGTTCATCATGGCTACCCTTCTCCAATTCTTTTATCTGTTAATCTTCCTTTTAATCCCAGTTTCTTCCCAGCTTGACCAGCTCTTGTATGCTGGATTCAAGGATGTGGGTGCAAACAATCTAACCTTGAATGGAGTAGCAGAAATAGAGAAAAATGGAATACTGAAATTGACAAATGAGACAAGCAAATCAAAAGGCCATGCTTTTTACCCATTTCCTTTTCAGTTAAAGAACTCTAGCACTGGTAAAGTTTTCTCCTTTTCTTCCTCATTTGCTCTGGCTATTGTCCCTGAATATCCCAAGCTAGGTGGCCATGGCTTGGCTTTCACAATATCAACTTCTAAGGATCTTAAAGATTCTCTCCCTAGTCAGTATCTTGGTCTCCTTAATTCCAAAGATGCTGGCAATTTCACCAACCATCTTTTTGCTGTTGAGTTTGACACTGTTCAAGACTTTGAGTTTGAGGACATTAATGATAACCATGTTGGAATTGACATCAACAGCTTGCAATCCAATGCTTCTGTTACCGCAGGTTATTACACTGGTGACTCAACAAAACAAGATCTCAACATCAAAAGTGGGAAACCGATTCTGGCTTGGGTTGATTATGATTGTGAACAGAATCTTATCAGTGTTACACTTTCTCCAGATTCATCCAAACCCAAAAAGCCAATCTTGTCCTTTCATGTGGATCTCTCACCAATTCTTCATGATACTATGTATGTTGGGTTCTCTGCATCAACGGGTTTGCTTGCTAGCTCCCATTACATCTTGGGTTGGAGCTTTAGAATCAATGGACCAGCACCACCCCTTGATCTATCTTCTCTCCCACAACTTCCACAACCAAAGAAGAAGCAAACGTCTCTGATAACAGGGGTTTCTGTCACAGTGGCTGTTATTGCTTTGTGTTCTATATCCATTGGCATTTACCTCTTCAGAAAAATCAAGAACGCTGATGTGATAGAAGCATGGGAGCTTGAAGTTGGGCCACACAGGTACTCTTATCAAGAGCTCAAGAAAGCTACAAGAGGTTTCAAGGACAAAGAGCTACTTGGGCAAGGTGGTTTTGGCAGAGTTTACAAAGGAACATTGCCAAATTCAAAGACCCAAGTAGCTGTTAAGCGAGTTTCACATGAATCTAAACAAGGTCTGAGGGAATTTGTGTCTGAAATAGCCAGCATTGGCCGGCTTCGCCACCGGAATTTGGTTCAATTACTCGGCTGGTGTCGCCGCCGCGGTGACCTCCTACTTGTGTATGATTTCATGGCTAATGGGAGCTTGGACAAGTACTTGTTTGAAGAGGCAAAAAATGTACTAAATTGGGAACAAAGGTTCAAGATAATAAAGGATGTTACTTCAGCACTTCTGTATCTACATGAAGGCTATGAGCAAGTGGTGATACATAGAGATGTGAAGGCTAGCAATGTGTTGCTAGATTTTGAACTCAATGGAAGATTAGGTGATTTTGGATTAGCAAGGTTGTATGAACATGGTGCTAACCCAAGCACAACAAGAGTGGTGGGTACCTTAGGCTATTTGGCACCTGAGTTGCCTAGAACAGGAAGGGCAACTACAAGTTCTGATGTTTTTGCATTTGGTGCACTTTTGCTAGAAGTGGTGTGTGGGCGTAGGCCTATTGAGCCTAAGGCATTACCAGAAGAGTTGATTTTGGTGGATTGGGTGTGGGACAGATACAAAGAAGGAAGAATACTTGATGTGGTTGACCCAAAACTAAATGGTAATTTTGATGAAAGGGAGGTGATGATGGTGTTGAAATTGGGGTTGATGTGTTCCAATGATGTGCCCAATGCTAGGCCTAGCATGAGGCAAGTGGTGAGGAGTTTAGATGGAGAAGTTGAGTTGCAAGATGACTTGAAAAAACCAGGAGATATAAGTCAAAGGGGTGATGGGTTTGATGAGTTTGTGGACTCACTTGCATCTTCTTCTTTTGATAAGATGAGCTCAAGCTCCTATCTTGGATATAGAGACATGGATACTAGTTTTCTTTCTTTTGCTAATTCACCTCAGTCCCTTCTCCATGGTAGAGGACAAACAAGGTGAATCTACATTATTCTGAGACAGGCTTTCTTTGCTTTTCTCTTCTCACTCAAGAAATGTTTGTTTTAACATCCCATGATGTCTCAATTATAGAAAGCTTTGGACATGATGAATGGAACGGCAAAATCATTATGTTTCAATGTTTGTTCTGCTCCTTAATTGGCAACCTTTTTTGTTGAGCATTTTTTTTCTTACTTCTGTATTTTGGTGTGCCTTGTGAGTTGATAAATATTAATAAGAAAAGGTGACCATAAGTATAAGGACCGTACTATACTATAGACACAAGATGTGGTGCCTTTTATCACTTAATAAAAATAAAAATTAAAAAATATTATTACACACAATTCGATGTTTTTTTTTTTTTTTTTGAGTAGTAGAAAGAATTCTCCTTATAACGAGAATGGAAGGCATATTTGGGAGGCAACTTAAAAAAATAAAAATAAAAAAAATCTTGAATTAAATGGAAGGCATATAACTGAAGTTGCAGCTCTAAACTATAAGCCCATAATGCACCTTAATTGGTGGGTAAAAACTACAAGAAGAATATAATTCTTATGTTGTATGATGTCTTATATAATATATAAAAAAATGGGTAGATTCACTAAGGTGATGTTGTATGATGTCTTATATAATATATAAAAAAATGGGTAGATTCACTAAGGTGAATAGAGAGAGAAAAAAAGTGAATTTTATCCATTTTTTGTGTGTATTACATTAAACAAATTATTTCATACAACATATAAATATATTTTCCATATTTTAACACACAATTTGAGACTCAAAGCCTGTACTAGCAATTCATAAAATCATGGCCATAGATAATGATTTTTTAGGGTAAATTATTGGGGAACCATGTGAATTCCTCTTAGGGCCTGTTTGGATGAGCTTTTTTTTCTTCAAAAGTTGCTTTTTTTCAAGAAAAAAAGCACTTCTCGTTTTTAGTTCGTTTGGATGTCTCTTTTTAAAAAAAGAAGAAGTCACAAAAAAAGTCAAAAACCTACTTTTTTTCAGAAGCTAAAAATTTTAACTTCTAAGAAAAGCAAAAGTCAAAAGCTAAATATTTTTTCTTAAAAACTAAATATTTGTATAAAATTATAAATAGCTTTAACTTTTGTAAAAAGTATTTTTAAAATAAAGAAGTGATAAAAGTTACTTTTTTTAAAAACTGAAACAAACGACCTCTTATGCGTTTGAGCTAGTATCAGTCTTTTTCATCATTATCATTATAGATCGACTTCTTCTTTAGTCAAATAAGCAAGACATTTATTCCCCATTTTTTTATTTTTCAGGATTCTTTAAAAGGAAATTTAAGGGAAAAGAAGGGGAGATAACTAATAGACTATATTAGTGGGCTCCACTTGACCGAAAATATTAAATATTAATTTTATAAGTCTTTTCAGTTAAAATATTGTTTACTTAATCGATTAATTTTTAGGGAAAATTATTTCTATTTTATTGCAGAATTTTTTTTATTAACTTATATAAAAGTGAATGGATTCAATTATAAAAAAAAGTTAATTAATAAAATCTATTCATTTTCATGTAAATATGATAAAGAATAATTTTTTTAAATAAAAGCACAAATGTTAAACCTTATTTCTAATATTATGCCTTGGAAAAAAAAACAAGGGCCTATCAGAAGAGCCTTTTTATTTTTCCCAATCTTTTCTTCAGGGTTCAATTTTTTCATATTATTGAAGATAAATATTTTCTATTATTGACACATGATGTGGTAAGATCCATCATCCATTAAAAAAAAAAGAAATGATACTATTTTCGATATGAAAATGGCATAAGATAACTCTATCGTGTAAAATGAGACAACGATTTCCGTCTTCTCAATCACTACAATAATTGCATATAGTTCAAATTTCAAAAATGCCAAGCCGTGAGGAAGGGGATAGAGATCAACCTATATAATTTTGGTTGACTGAAAATTGGTCATTGCACACTCCTTTTTGTTTTCTTTCGATTGAGAAGCACTTTTCCACTTGTTTAAAATTCTTTTCAAACCTTGAGAATATGAACCTATAATCAATGTGCACCAACTTGCCACTAAAGCAATTCTGCTATTAGGAAATCATTTTCCAAACATGACTGCCTTGAATGAAGGATATCCCAGCTGTGATAGACATCGAAAGAGAATAACTTTTTGAATGGGAGTACATAATTAAAAAAAAAAAAGGTGCTTATTGCTTAAAATAATTAAAGTTGGCTGTAAATGGTTATGAAATGGGTGATTCTACATTCCTTGGTGGAATACTTGTGTTGAAAATTACAAACTCCCCACTAGCTATTACAAGATTGTTTTTGCTATTGCAACTCTGACTCTCTAATGGTGTTTGTTATGATCTGTTTCAAGCTACCAAGGCAAGGACTCACAACTCATACTAGAACTTTATTATCTGTTTCAAGTTGATGTTGGGAAAGGCCTTAATCTTCCCCTCTTAACAATTATTTTTTCTGTGCTGGTATCTATTGTCACACAGTCAATTTTAACCTTTTCTTTTTAATGGTTTCAAGAACAAATGTTCACATTACTGGGTCATTAGGCAACATCCATTTCTGTAATCTAAAATCTATATTGATCTAAATTGTGAGATATTCCTGGGTTGGCTTAAGTACTGCTTACACTATTGTGAATGCAGTGTTGCTTGGTTTGGTACATGGAAGTTCCTTTGTTCTCAGCTATTGGTGTATTTATCCCTTTAATTTTTTTTTATTTTTTTTGTTCTCAGCTAGTTAGATCTCTTTCCTTCTAATTGAGAGCTCTATTAATTTTCCTTTGTTCTGTTGATATCTTATTAGCTTATGTTATTTTTATATATTTAATGATGGATAAAATGAAATACAATAAAGTTATCATATTTTTAGGTATTTAATTCTGCTGCTTGGGCGTATTTTCAACAAGGAAAAAGTATTTCTACAGGATAAGGTTATCTACAGTCACCATTTTTAATTATGTTCTTCTGGGAGAACATAGTTATAACATTACAGTTGCTTTTTTTTCTCTCTCCACATCAACAAACAAGTTCTAAAAAGTAACTGAGGAGAGAAAAAAAAAAAGCAACTTTACTGCTATAACTATGTTCTCCTGGGAGAACATAGTTAAAAACGGTGGCGGTAGATAACTTTATCTAAAGTGACTGCAAAAATGTTTACCTCATTTTTCATAATAGTAGTTATAAATAAGAAATCCGTTCATTTTGTTGCTCACGGGTCAATCCTCCATCAATTATTCACAAGTCATAGAAAAATAATTGTTCACAATCGAATTCATATAAGTTAGTTAACCCTTTGTTCCAAAAGAAGAGATTTAAATTCTTAGTATCTCTTAAGTTGGATCAAACATTAAGATTCATGAATTCCCAATCCAATCCATATAAAATAGTTAACTCTCACTCAAAAAAGATGAGATTTGATTTCTCAATATCTCTTAAATTGGATCAAACATTAAGATTAATGAATTCCCAAAATATTGCATACCATAATCTCTATGCTAGATCATAAAATAATATGGCAATTATTACAGATCTAATTCATATAGTAATTTTTATTCAGGGCCCAAATTTGAAATTCAATACCAAAATTTGTTTTAGATTGAAAATATCAGTTTTGTTTTATATATTTAGAAAGATTACAAATAGAAAACAATGTTACATATATTTATAAATAGGGTTCGCTTTTTGTCATGTCACATGACAAGAGCTTTTTACATGCACACACAAATCAAGTGCGGGTTCCACATTAAAAAAAAGTCAGGATACGGAAGCAGGACGAAATAATATCATTCCTATAATATGATAAACTGATTTCCCTTATAAATAAAGAAAAAATTATTTCTCATGTAAGATAATTTTGCGTCATGAAAAAAAAATATATATTGGATTTGTAATGTTTGTTAATGAATGAGTTCAACCACTCTCAAGACTTTGTGTATACGTGATTTGATTTCAACCGTTCAATCATCCACGTTATTAGACTTTGCTACGGGAAACGGAAATGTAAGGAAAAAACAAAGAGGTAGAGATATCGATATCGATAACAATGCCGTCTTCCTTCGTTCTTTCTCAACGTCTTCATCGATTGATTTTCAGCCAGGCAAGCTAATGTGATGGGAGAATATTCTTGTTTTGAAACATTCAAGTGAAAAAAAACACTAATTTTTCTTTGAAAATATATAATATTAATATGGGTAATAATTTTCTCAAAACAATTACCTTCCACAAACACAATTACGCAGGCAGGGACCACTGATGGGGGAGAGAAAATAAAATAAGAGTGATCCACTTTGGGTTTAAGAGTCCACGAAATGATTTTTCCCTCCTGTTACATAAGAAATCTAATATGCTATTAATATTTTGATTTATTTTATGAAAATGACATTGTCCAACTAAGTTCTAGTTCATTTGTTTGGTCATTTCTATTATTTTTCTTAGCTTATTTTATTTTTGGAATAAGATATTATACGTATATTTTTTCATCTCTACTTTATCTATTCATCTCTAATACACTTAGATCAGAATCTCAAGAGAGAAGAGAAAATATAAAAGTTAGCTAAAATTCTGATATAATGATATTGAAAAAGATTAAGTATAATAGGTAGGGGTGTTCGCGGTCTGGATTAGATCGGTTTTGGAAGCAAAGCTCATCTGATCCAATCCCTTCGGTTTAATCATGTAATCATCCATTCGGTTTAGATTTTTTTTCAAATCTGATCTGATCCAACCCAATTTTTTTCGGTTTGGATTGGATCGGTTTTCGGTTTTTTGAATATCCTAAAATTAGTTTCATGATTATTGTGCAAATAACATCTTTTGTATATATTGGCTTTGTAAAAAAAATAAAATTGAAATACAAAAATATCAGTAAACAATATTATAGTTGATGAGACGTGACTAAGTTTTTTTTTGAGTTTAGTTGATGAGTTAATGGGTCTTGAGTTTAGAAATTTTTGGGCTATGATTGGAGAAAGTACAAGTAAGTAGAAGATAATTAATATATTGGATCGGTTTAGATTGGATCGGTTTTCATCAACCCATCCGAAAATCGATCCAATCCAATTAAAATTTGTGGTTTTCTTTCGTTTTTCGATTTTT